TCTCTCTCTCTCTCTCTCTCTCTCTCTCTCTCTCTCTCTCTCTCTCTCTCTCTCTCTCTCTCGATCATATATTTCTTACGTATATTTCTTTAAATATACGAAATGTATATATCTTTTATACATATAAATATGCGTGTGCAATAATATGGTTAATTCGCAAAGCGAACGTGATATGACGAATGTGTCATCCGCCCGGGGAGTTTGCAATATGCAAATGGCTTATATTGTGCGCATTTAGGCCAATGATAATGAACGTAAGCTATCGCTACACGGTAATTCAATTCTCTCCTCTCCAGAAACAAAGGACGTTTGCATGTACTTCGAGGATATATCAAGTTACACGTTAAGAAGTTAACGAGATGCTACGCGTGTCTATTGCTTTCAACGGTGAAACTTGATTAAATTGTAAGTGCGTTGTATCGTTATCGTCACGTCGGATGCACTGATAATCCTTAATTTACGTACCACGTGCGCGATGCATGGATACCGCGACATTCTCTCACGTAACTGCATTTTATGGGGGGATACTGCGACATTGTCTCGCGCAGCTGCGTTATGGATTTAACGAGTTAAATATTACGAATACAAAATAACGTTGTAATAATGTGATAATTATTGGCACGATTATTATGAACACTTTCAAATAGAGTGTCGCATATCACATTTAAATATATGAAATATGCACAAGGCATGGCATTAATTATATTTACAAAGGAAACTTAATTTCGTCTTCATTTAATTTGGAATTCGTGTCTGTACAGTGGTTCTCACGCGGTCCTATTTTCGTAACGTTGTTAAACGCCCGCGGAGTACTTTCCATCCAAAAGCACATTTTGAAGATATCAAGATACGCGTTCAGCAGTCGTGTCGAATGCAATCTGACTTATCTGTTCGTCGATCACGATCCTAGTATAAAATCGATCGACAACCTCGCTCATCTTCCTTTCTCATTTCACGTAAACGCGAGAAGAAAAAAATACGTACGAACGAGTCTTTCGAATGATCCAATACTTGCTCAAGACGCGGGGATATCTGTTCCCAATCGACCCAAATGAGGACTAGGTGTATAGACCGGCGAGAAGCACCTCTTGAAAAAGGGGGGCAGGAAGAAGCCAGCCGTGCATTTGGCCGTCCGTGGTATCTTTCTCGAAGAAAAAACATCGGGCCAGGTGCGTGCCGGGGCACCATCGGCACGGCAGGCAGGCGGCCGTCCCGTGCCGCTTCTGCGAAGCCGTGTCGGGGAGGCTCCGGATAGCACGCGCGCGTAGTGGCACGCGAGTCGCAGGCAGCCGACGACGGAGCAGATGTTCCTCCTTCTTCACCTCCTCCTCCACCTTCCCCGGGGAAGGTCTAATGCCACGCTGGCCCTCGCGTTTATTTCCCTTTATACGCAGGATCTCGGCTCGCGTCTCCGGCAACGTGTTCGCCCCTGCGACGTTCTCCCCGAAAAGTTGCCCAGCCTCAAACCGATTTGCTCAACGATTGATAAAAACTGTCGATTTACTTTGCTCGCAGCTACGACGCCGGGCGCGCTTCCTCTCTCGGAAGACTTTTAAGTAACGTTTATCGCGTATGCGCCTCCTCTCTCTTCTCCGGAAGCAGATGTTTCCGGGGAACTTTCCAATGTTTGCATTCAAGTTTCACAACTGATTTTATAAAAGTCCAACGTGTAATAATATTTATTCTCCTAGCAGTAATGCCGTTGAATATATTCTCTCTCTTAAAAAGTTGTATGCTGATACGCTTTCTGAATTTATTTTCCTTTGTGTGTCCCGAGAGGCACGATCGCTTTACTCTCACGCGGGACGCGCAACGTTTTCATTGAGGAGTGTATCATCGTATATTCTGGGCTTGAAGCTGATTGAAGAGGGTGCAATCTAGAGTGATACGCGTAATTCTGCTAATAAAGAAAACGATCTAATTCGCTAATTATGACGTCGAGTCGTCTCCGCGCTTCGGCTCCAAGTTAAGATCGAAAGCCAGCCGATTCGAAAATCGCTCTTACATACGCGGTTACGTTGCCTCCGCGTTACCCGCCGGCATTAATATTGTTGAGACGCCGCATTTACATTGTTCAACCACATTATCGTATAACATTTAATGGTACACGCACTGATTGCGGCAGGGAAATACGGGCCCGGCTTACGAGAGCGGACGCGTTTCGTGGCGGCACCATCGATTTCTCAACCGCGCTCCAATTTTAATTGTCCATTAATATACGCCTCTTATCTGACCAGATATGTTTCATCATTATTTTCTCCGTGTATTACCGCAACGTCGACCGAATATTTCATCCGCCTAACGGAGGGGATTTTCGCGCACGCCAAGCTGGTGAGAGTCCGAGCGAGTCGCGGTCGCCTCTTCGGCGTTTCGTCTCTCTTCGCCGGCGCGGGCGAGCATTCGTCATACGTCGCGCGTTCATTTGCTTAAGATATGTCGCATCTTTACGTAAGTCATTTAATCGACGCGCATTGCGTAAGCTCTCCGCCGCGGTAGGTTGAGTGTCACGGTCAGACACTCGCCGATTGTCGACGCTGCTAATCGCCGCGTGCACCTGCCAGATGCATGCACACCGGCTCCGAGGAGCACGTCGGAGATATACGGGCCGTGTAATGCGCACCTTTGTGGCCCGCGGGGAGAGAGAGGCTCCTACTCCTCGCCCTCGGGGCCCCAAATCCTTTCAGGGATTTCACCGTCCTAATGGGCCCCGAGAGCGCGGGGCCTCGACGAGCGCCAGCTGCTTCTCTCCCGAGACTCCCAACGCCAGTTCGTCTTCGGTGCTCGAGGTGGTCGACACGCGAGACGCGTGCCCCACGTTCCTCGCGCGAGAGAAGAAACAGTTCCGTGGGCGCAATCGCGTGGTGTAATTGCGCGCAAGAGCGAGCCGTGCATCGAGGACGGCCGCCGCGGCACGCAACGCGCGGAGAATCCACGCCCGCCGTCATAGACGAAGATAGATCGCGCAATTTGATACACGTGGAAAATCGTCCGAGTCCACGGAGGCAACATGATCGTTTGCGTCTATTACCTCGGGGGGTGCGTCTCCTTCATTCCTACTCGGCCCCGGCGCGCGACGCGCTCCTTCCAATAATTAAAGGCACCTGGCGTCGTAGCCGCGCGATGTCGTTTATCTGATTTCAATTATCCCCGCGCGGTCTCTCGCCGCACGGCGTTTCTTTACACAGGCCGATAAACTAGCTGGCGGGTACCATCGCGGGAGGACGATGAAAAGCTAAATTGAAAATTCAGAGATTAAGTCCCTTCATTCGCGGCCCCGCTCCCGAGAGGGGGACGGTCGCGAGAATTGAAAAGTCGATACGGGATTCCTTCGGCTGTGATAGCATTTTTTGTCCCGGTCCTCTTAACCATCGATGATCCTCCGCGAGTTTTGTCGCGCCTGTCTTCGCCGAACTCCTCGAGGTGGTCTTATCAGACAGTCACCTCGAGAGACGCGCAAGTCGTTAAGAACTCGAGTCATAGGAAGTAACGTGTATCGCGGACGTGACGTCTTGGGGGGCAAAAACTAATTGCACACGTGTCTGTCTGTCGCGCAGCTTCCCGACGAAGGTGGACAGACCCTTGGCGTCGCACAGCAGCACGGCCGCCAGCCAGATCCACGGCAACAGCATGCACGGCGCGTACTCGTCCGGCAGCCAGACGTCCCTGTCGACGACGTCGTACATCACCGGCCAGTCCTACATGCAGAGCCAGAATTACGCGCACGGGCCCCCGTATCCTGCCGCGAGCGTCCAGGTCTACTCGCACAACGCGACGGGCTACTCGCAGCCGCAGAGCTACGGCACGATGGTGCAGGGCTTCGGCGGGCAGCCGCAGTCCGCCGGCTATCAGCAGAGCCACCTGAAGAAGGGCTCGGTCCGCAACGGCGACGTCCTCAAGCGGTGTCGGCTGCAGACCGCGTAAGTCGTAATTCTATACTCTCTCGCGACCGCGATCGCGAACAACACGCGGAACCGTAACGGTGCTCGCGCGCCGATGAAAAATGGTATCGCGGCCAGCAGGACGCGTCGGAAATTAAAAATTGCGCGCGATCTCTCCGTTCCGCAGATACGAGCTGTCGCAGGATCTGCTCGACAAGCAGATCGAGATGCTGGAGCGGAAGTACGGCGGCGTGAAGGCGCGGAACGCGGCGCTGACGATTCAACGTGCCTTTCGGAGGTACACGTTGCTGAAGAAGTTCGCGGCGATCACGGCGATGGCCAAGGCGGAGAAGCGATTGAGCAGGAAGCTTCAGGAGGCGGCGACGGATCGCTCGGGCAACCTCAACGATCACGAGAGAATGGTTTACCACAGTCAGATATACATTCAGCAGGCACAGTCCGCCAACAGGTATAGAATCGCGACGTGTTTCTCCGTGCGCGTTGGTCCGACGGCAGTCAACGATCCGTAGACGTAAGGTAAGGCAGGGAAAAACGCAAGTCATACACAATAGCCTTTCACGGCGTTTTTCTCTGCCTTACCTTTCGTCTACGACTAAGACAGGCCTCGAGCGTTTACGGATCGGTCACAAAAAGTTTATCGCGCTAAATTGACTGCGAATCTAGCAGACCGATGCCGATCCGAAGCATGTCTCTCAGGGAGAGGCGGCACGTGGACAACTCGCAATCGCCTATACCGAGGAGTCAGAGCGGTAGATGCGAGGTGCAGGTCAGCGGCCATCAACACACGAATCACAATTTGCATCAGAGCGGCAGGCATACGCCTTCATTGGCGCCCAGCCCGTGTAACCGACATCAGCAATTACCACCGAGTCCCTGCTGGGAGTCGAGCTCCCAGGAGAGCGGCTCCAGTATCCATTATTACAATCCACAGGTGAGTGTCGATAAGCGCGATGGCGTGTTAACTGACGAGTGCTCGACAGTTCGAGCGTTCGTTTTGTAAAATGAACGAGATAATAACAGGTGACGACGGTATAGCTCGTTTTACCGCCTTAATTTGATAGACACGATTTCCGTTTAACGCAGGAAGCCTTGTGCGGCTTGAGACAAGAGACGCCGCCGAGAGATTTGCTGCGGACACCATGTACGTCGCCGTCGACGCCGCACAATCTGCAGACGACGATATCGCAAAATTGGAACAACGCCAACCAGCTTGGTCCTGGCAGAACGAGAGGTTCCGGCAAGAAGGTCCCGCCGGAGGTGCCGAAGAGAACGTCCTCCATCTCCTCGAGATCTATGGAGCCGCGACACAACGGTCTCAGTAAAAGCGTGGAGAACGGAAGTCTGAGCTCGGTGCAGAGTTCCGGCAGCGACTCCACCAATTGCGAGAGCTCCGAGGGCGATGCCCAGAGAGGGTCGCCCGTTTGGAAGCACAAAGGGATTGTGAGTATAGCTTGCCTTTTACTTTCCTATTATGTTCACGCGTTACTTATGCACTTTGCGTAAGTAACGGTGATTTCTTGAGGACGTAAGCGAAAAACGTTAACGGAACCGTCCCGATTGTGAAATCAGTCGAGTTCGCCGGAGCACCAGGAATGCGCGAGTCATACCACGGACGCGGCGGCGATGGCCGCTAACGTGAAGGAGTTTGGCCACTCACACGCCAGCTCCGGCTACCAGCTTCCCCTGATGGACCACACGGAGAGTCTGCCGACTCAAACGAGCTACAAGGTGTCCGAGACGGTGAGGAAGCGGCAGTACAGGGTCGGCCTAAATCTTTTCAATAAGAAACCGGAGAGGGGGATCAGTTACCTCATCAGACGTGGATTTTTGGAGAACAGTCCGCAAGGGGTCGCCAGATTCTTGATCAGTCGGAAGGGATTGTCTAAACAGATGATAGGAGAGTACCTCGGGAATTTGCAGAACACTTTCAACATGGCGGTGCTTGAGTGAGTAATTCGATATACTCGATAGATACGGATTAATATCGAGAACGAAAAGAGCAAATCTCGTTTTAATAAAAGATCAATTCATTATTAATTATATCCACATTTAGCATGCCTTTTTTAAATAACACTTTTGTAATGTTGTTTGTCGCTTTGTAAATTACAAAAATGTATTTGATTTGTAATTCTTATCAATGTCTATGATTTACTATTTATGATTTGTAGATGTTTTTCTCAAGAGCTAGATCTCTCTGGAATGCAAGTGGATGTCGCTTTACGAAAGTTTCAAGCCTACTTCAGAATGCCTGGCGAGGCGCAGAAGATCGAACGGCTAATGGAGGTTTTCAGCCAACGTTACTGCCAGTGCAATCACGATGTAATATCGAGGCTGCGGTCGGCAGACACTGTTTTTGTCCTGGCCTTCGCTATTATCATGCTTAATACGGATTTGCATACACCGAATCTGAAGCCTGAGCGCAGAATGAGACTCGAGGATTTCATAAAGAATCTTCGAGGAATCGATGATTGCGGCGACATAGACCGGGATATTCTAGTTGGCATTTACGAACGGGTAAAAGATAACGAGTTCAAGCCGGGCTCCGACCACGTGTCGCAAGTAATGAAGGTCCAGGCGACTATTGTTGGAAAGAAGCCAAACATGGCGCTGCCGCACAGAAGATTGGTGTGTTACTGCAGGCTCTACGAGATACCGGACATCCACAAGAAGGAGAGACCTGGCGTTCATCAGAGAGAGGTTTTCCTCTTTAACGACCTGCTCGTCGTTACGAAGATCCTGAGCAAGAAGAAGAACAGTGTAACTTACACTTTCAGGCAGAGCTTTACACTTTGCGGCATGATGGTCACTCTATTCGAGGTTCCACGTAAGTCTCTGCAATAAAAGAAATTTATTTATAAAGATATTTAAATATTAACGTATTCTTAACTATCGACTGCCATGCATTTATCTTGCAGATTATCCATATGGCATAAGACTCTCACAGCGTGTCGACGGAAAAGTTCTAGTCACATTTAACGCTCGAAATGAGCACGACAGGTGTAAATTTGTGGAGGATCTTAGGGAATCCATCAGTGAGATGGACGAGATGGAAACTTTGCGTATCGAAACGGAATTGGAGAGACAAAAGAGCAGTAGGGGCGCGCGCGGCGGCGCGGAAAACAGAGACTCCGGCGTTGCCGACGTGGAGATATGTCCTTGCCCCGGGACTTGTTCCGACAGAGCAGAAACGGTCGATGTCGATACGCAGCTGAAACGTTCCGCCCTTAGTAATTCTCTCCTGGACATACACGAGCAGTGTAAGTAGAGAGAAATGTACATTTACATCTTATCATTTTGCAAATAAATATAACGTGCCGATCTATGTGTTTAGTTGCCGGCGAGAAGCCACAGCGTCGTGGAAGCGTGGGCTCTTTGGACAGCGGTATGTCTATTTCATTTCAATCCACTTCTGCCAGCTCGATGAGCCAAGGCATCAAGCATCCTGGACAAGTTCATCCTATTCATCCAGGGGTTACGATCCCTGGTCCCGGTGGTAAGGGACTGGCTCAGCAGTCGTCTTTTTTAGGAGGTCTCTTCGCCAAACGAGAACGAAAGCTATCGCAATCTGAAGAGTCCGGCCCTTACAGTCGTACCACGGAAGTATAATGTACTCTTCCAATTACGTAAACGAGGTACACTTTTGTATTTTCCTTTAGCGCGCTTCGTGTTTTTAATGAGCTGAGGACGTCTCGCGTCGATGGCGCGGATTTTAACTAGCAATAATTATTCCTTAATTTATTCGTATTGATAAAGTTACGAGCGTCATTTTCCCTATTTGGAGCTTCTTGTCGGAAAAATTTTCAACGAAAAAGAAAGCGAGTCGATACAAGCAGCAAGACTGCCGCGAACTGTTCTGTTAGCGTACTAATAGAGTGATGATCGTTTTATACGTATACCACGAGGCGTGCTAAAGGGTTAGAGAGGTAGCGACGACAGGTAACGCTAAGAAGGACGTAAATCTGAAGGATTGGGCAGGATCCAATCGAGATCACCTGGCGCACTTAAAGAAAGAGAAAGAAAATTTTAACCTATTCTCCCCTCCCGAAATTGTGTATAGTATTTATTCATCTGAAACGGAAAACTAATGGACACGTTTTTCATACTGTATTTATAGTTTACGAGGATACCGAATGATATAGAATTGTGTGTTGATAATATTATTACATTTTTTGCTTAGTTTTACACCGTAGGCGGGCGTTAACGAGTAGAATTTAACGAAGAGAAAATCGTAAGTCACAAGAGTTGTAAGAATAACGAGATATCTTATCGAGAGTTTCTAATAGTAATCGCTATCAGCAAGTATTATCATCATCACCGATTCGAGGAGCTGTAAATAATAGACGTATAAACGACGTTCGAAGCGAGTTGTCACGTGTAAACGAAAGGGAGCTAGCGTAAGGGAAATGATAAGCAATCTCTATCGATGTTAGGTGCATGTTGATGTCTAACGATTTTTATTATCGGAAAAAAAACGTGAAGTTTGAATGTAGCAATGAAATAAGACTTAACGTAAGACGTAAGACGTGTTTGTCATTATAGCGACCTATTGATAATCTCATTCACGAGAAGTAGTTTTTGCTTATGTACGTTGAAATTTTGACTCGAAGTTGTTCGCATTTTCACTAAAAGGGAAGAAGAGAAAACGGGAGACAAGAAGACCAGATCGTGTGTTAAAATATATTATCCGTGATTAATTCGTTTCTCGTCTTCCGCGGCGAGAGTAGACGATAGATCTAAACGTCGATAATACCGTCGCGAGAGTATAAACACGTAAGCTAAGATACGTACGCGAAACGAAGACAAAGAAAAAGAAGAAAAGAACGCGCATGCCTTATATACTGCCATGATAAAAAACTCGCGCGACCGAGAAACGAACTAATGAAATCACAATCGTAGAGGTGGTCGGAAGTTCTTTGTTTCCAAGAGGCGGAATTGTATGACAAACTAATCGATCATGTACATAGGCGCTGATCGCAACATCAGCTGGCTGTAAACAAGCAAACGGCGTTCATTAATTTAATGATAATCTCCCGTTAAAAATAACGCATCTACATAGGAGGAGTGTTTAATATAATTCTACTTTAGGCTTTTTTTTAACTGTCCCGCGCTCTAATTTCTTTAGCATCGAGAACATCGGGCGTATTCGAAGGATTTTAACGACGTTACGCAGGCGAGAGAGAGAGAGAGAGAAAGAGCGAGTACTCTCGGCCACATTTTTCACATCGGCGATAAATTTGTAATTATCGTTAACTTAAGATTAAGATCCGTTGGAGGGAACGAGATTGCGGTCGGTCGAAGATACTATTGCGAAAAAGATCCCCGTGCGACGTTCTCGTGAGTGTAGGTATTGGAATTTCACAGTTCTCTCGCGCACAGAAAGGGAAAGCGGTGCCTAGAGAGATAATCACGTCGCGCCGGCAAATTTTTATACGTATACCACATGACGTTCGACACGCTAATTCTAATTCTCGCGCTCGTCACGTCTGCTAACCAACTGTTATCGACTGGCTCTTGATACACGGGCGACCGGCGTAATGCTGATGTACTTTATAAACGTTGTAAAAGCGATCGAATGTTGAACACTCCGTTCTATTTATGATTCTAATAAAGAGAAACGAGAAAAGGAGCAGAGGACGTAATTGTTGAAATTGTCCAGGAACAATTTGCATTATCGTGGGTGGCTTGCCGACAATACATTCTGCTTACAGAAAGAGAGGGGGAGAGACGGATAAACGGAGGGATTCATTTCCGTTCGTCTTGTCACGAACTTTTCCCTCTGTATCTAAACAGGCTACTCGCACGTATCACCGACATCGATTCTAGTCTTTCTCATCCACGTACGCGATGTAAGCGCGGCGACGATCTCGTGCCGCGTAAAACCGTACGGGATTGATTCGCGAAGATAATCCTCCAAATTGTACAGAGACACGTACACACACGGTCGGCTTTAGACGCAGCGTTAACGTCACACAAGTATGCATAACAATAAGCTCCACACGGACGAGATCGCGTCAATTCTTCTCACTGGCCACTCACTTAAATAATCTGAATTCTGTGATAATCTCGCGCGAAGACAAGAAAAAAAAATAAGACAAAGACTGATTAGGAAGACCCCAAATTTTATTACGACGCGTATCCTTTTTCGGTCACTTTTTCCCTAATCCGCTCACGAAAGGAGAAAGGGGAATCGCTCGATTATTGAACATTGAGAAAGATAACTCGTGGCATCGGCCTCGCTCTGCCCCACGAATTTGATACCTAGCTGTTGTCGTCAGTTGTCGCGTTAAAGTAGAGATACGTATTCTTGTTGGCGGTGAAAATAAATATCAGGGAAGAATGGATTGCACCAGATTGGCGCGATCTTCAAAAGTCTGACGCCCGATTGAGCACGTCGCGGCCGTTACTCGGCTTGCTCTCCGTGAAAGCCTCGCTGGTGAGAAAGCGTGTATAATCAAGATCAGTCACCCTCCACCCCCCACCCACCCCTCCCTTCCCATTCCCTCTCAATGCCAAATTATTAGTAAATTCCTCCCTCGTTAGTCTAGTGAGTGCTGTAAGTACACTGTGTTAATAAATAACTCTGAATCCTAATTGCTGTGTGTTTCCCTTATCGTCGTGTCGCACCCCTGGCGCCCGTTTCGCCAAACGTCGTTTAACTTTAATCTCGGTTTAATTCATGTTTGTCTCTTTCTAGAGTTGGAAAGAGGCAACGAATTAAGTTAAGCTTGAAGTTAAACAACAGACGTGAGGTTTCACCAAACGTTGCTTGATTTTAATCTTACATTTAATTTAATTCACGTTTCTCTCTTTCTAGAGTATAACAGTTGGAAGGAGGCAAAGAACGAATACAAACGAGTAGCGCTTGAATTCACTTTTGTAAGTTTTTCACGAGACATCTGTTCGAAATGAGCTCGAAAAGATTCCTTTCCATTCAATGAAAGCAGCGCACTTAGACTTTTTATAGAAGCGAATTAAAGTTTCGGATACACAAAATTCCACTTCCGGAGGTCCGGAAAAGAGCTCGCAACCTGTGACACGAGTTTCCTCTTAAAGAATGTCCCTGGAACAGAAATGGCAAAGGATTCATTTCATGATTCGGGAATTCAACAAAAGAATTCCTTTCGGATTCTCTGCGCTATCTTTTATTTATATATTATCACCCAAACTCCGATTGATATAAGCGACGATATTTGTCGAATAAGGCCCGGTTTCACCAAACGTCGTTTAACTTTGATCTTAGTTTAATTCACGTTTGTCTCTTTCTAAAGTAACAGAAAGCGACGAAGAACGAATTAAGCTAAGCTTAAAGTTAAACAACGTTGGTGAAACCGGGCCTAAAACCGTGTTACCCTGCCGGAAATAATTCTACACAATTCTACAAAACTATGAAATATAACTGCCAGAATCTAAGAAATTAAACGTGAATTTAAAGTGTTATAAAAATCAACATGAAAATGCTAGAACTGAAAGACTTTTGTTAATTTTTGTAACATTCTACAAGTAAGCAGATGTTTTAATTCTTTAAGATTGTGTTGATGTAAATTAGTTTCAATCCCGGTTTATCTTATTTCTTATCTTTTTCTCATTCTTGCAATTAGAAGTAGAATTTCTAGAGTTCTCGGCCTTTCGATTTCATCAATTGGAACTTTTCGGGAAAGCGAGAGGCCATTTTTGGGCACCGTAAAGGGAAAGCTGTCGGATTGCGGCATTTGCAGCAGCAGTTCCTTGACAGTTCTACATCTCGATACATCAGCTGCGTCCAAGTGCTAACGTCTTCCTCCCTTGGTATCTCATCCTCCTCTCTCGCTCACTCGAATGCAAAAGAGCACACTCCGGCGCCTCGGATTTGCAATGGCGCACGCAGCTATTATTTTTTGAATCGCTGCAAGTGAAATAATTAGAAATATGGCTTCCAAGCGTGCATGAGCGCACTCGTTTCTCAATCCTTCCGTTAATATAATACCGTTCAACGAAAGTGCAGTATCCACGCGGAATGTCGCGCGATCGCCACGTTTAATCCGTCGTAAACAGCGGGACGAGACACCGATATGAGAATTGGCGGTGGAACCCCACGTCTCCCGCCGGCGGAATGTTGTTAACCTCGAGACGACGCGCTCCTAACCTCCAGCATGGCGCGAAAGCAATTTTATGCGATGTAACGGGGAACCCCGTTCCCGCGCTCGACCGATCCGACGAGGGACAAGGTGGGTGTCGTGAAACGAGACCGGCTCGTGCCGCCTGAGATTCATGTTTGACAGCCATGGAGGACCAGTTCCACTCGGAGTTGATCATGAAGGAGGAGCAGGACGAGGACGAGGTGAAGGAGGGCCGGTGCTCCGCCGAGAGCGAGAAGAGCGTCACCCCGGACGGGTCGGCGATCGGCATACGGCCGAAGCCCCTCATCTGCAAGCCGGAGAACGTGAGCATCGGCTGCAAGTCCGAGCCGATTGAGACCAAGTGGCACTGGGCACCGGGAGCGTGGCAAGACGCGACCAGGACCAGCGCGTTTCAGCCGTACAAGGTACTCCTTCGTCAGCCTTGCCCCTCGGCTCCGCCGGGCGTCGGTACCGACTCGGAGAATCCGGGGATTCGCTCGTCGCAAGATCCAGTACCGTCGTCCGCAGGTGTATTTTGTACCTGGGGATCAATCCTGTGTCTGAAATACAGTGAAAATGTGCTGCGAATAAAGTAAAAAACTCAAATTCCCCATCTAAAATACAGTGAAGTGAGCGACATTGTCTCTAACTGTCTCCTTAGAGACAAGGCTGCTCAATCTTCAGCATTTTCACTGTACTCTGGATACAGCTGCTCGATCACGAGTCTTTTCCTCTAGAGCGAGCTCGTGAAAAGTGAGGAACTTGATTGACCAACATTGAATTCATCAGTGAAAATTTTCACTTTTCACGAGTCCACGCTGGAAGACAAGATTCAAGATCGAACCCCAGATTTGAACCCCCGAACATAAAGTCTAATCTTGTCTACTTGCAGCCACCCACCTTGCTCACGAATCTGCAACGGGGCAACACTCAGACGCAGATACACCAGCTCTACGTTGGTAGCGATATCACGTTTCACACCTTGGCGGGTCAGGGGGAACTTACGTCGGACCATATACATTCAAGTAAATTGTGCGCTGTAACATCCTACTTTTTAACGAAGAGAGAGTTTTGCTTGTAGTCACCTGTGATGATTAAAAATTAAAACGGGGAAACTTTTAGCCGACCCGCCTGGCATAATTTCTTTATTTGTTTAATACAACGTTTCGACCCTATTTTTCGGATCCTTATCAAGTCGTACTAAGTGAGTCATCGTCGTCACATAAGATAGAGTCGAATTATAACACTTACTTTTTAAATTAACGTACATGCGAATATTGTCGCTGACTCGCTCTTTGCGTTGCACAGATTCAGTGGACAGGACCGACGAAAAGGGCTTAACGGGGCTGATGTGGGCCTGTGCTTACGGGCAACTTGGCAGCGCCAGGCAGTTGCTCAAAAGGGGCGCCAATATAAATAGTTGCGGACCAAAATTACAGACCGGTCTGCACCTGGCGGCCGCCTATGGCCATCACGATGTCGTCAAATTGTTGTTGAATCACGGAGCCGATCCCAACGCGTCCGATGAGGTATACACATTTAATTTTCTTTAGCTGAATATACGCTTACTTTCTAGAATCGTATTTTTGTAATACAGGATGGTAACACACCGCTGATGTACGGAGCATACTGCGATCATCCACACGTGTGCTATGAATTGTTGACGAAAGGTGCAGAAGTAACGCTTACTAATGCGTCAAATGTTAGCGCTTATAAAGCAGCGATCATGAATAATTCAATGAATGGTAAGCGTCCTCTTGTAAAACCATCCAAAAGTGTGTTTACGAAATACGAAAATAATTGTTTACCAATTTGCAGCTAAAGCGGTTATTGAGAACCATCTGATACCACAAATTATAAATATGCCAACGGATGAGTTATAATACGTTTGTACAGTAAATTGTAACAATATTTGTATGTCGTATACGTTTTTACAAATTGTAAATAAACACAAAGAACCGGCAATATGTTTATCAACCGTGAAAGAAACTTTTATACAGAAGTTTCGTATTTTTAACAAGAGCTCTAATAAGAAAGACGGCAATGCACAGCGTGAAATAGTCTCGAGGCACGAGGTACATGAACATACGAACGAGTAACAAAATTTGATTTATATATATTTGGTAATAATACAATCCTTTGCACAGGAGCTATTGCAATACTAAAATATATGTATCGAGTAGAAAGTAAATACGATAAATTTGCGTATATGAATCGTAACCAAGTTCGTCCAATCAAAATAGATCTTTTTTTTTACAAGTGTGTATAAGTATTCGGCACCGGACAGCTATTTAAATAGCATATTAAATTGATACATGTACATAAGTATAGCAAACGACACATACCAACGTTCAATGATCACATAAGGAATGGCTGTATGGCAATAAAATTCAAATTCAAATAGTATAGTCAATCTTGATTGTTGATCATAACATTTGTCTCTTCACCGAACTGCTGTCTATATTCATATTCTTATATGCGCGAATACTTGATCTATTATCCACAATGTCTTATACAACTTCATAATTATCAGTGAAGAACACGGTTTCTACTGAGTACTTGACTGGACTCTCATCCTCTACAAGCAAAACTTCGCTCACCTGAAAAGGACAAAGTGACATTATCATTTTATATATTGTGCAATGTAATTTTTGCTCAGAGTACGCAGAGTAAGCCACGTATTCCGCACCTTAATTTTGGCATACGGCGTTTTGGACGTGAACGAAACGTGAAGTGGGAAAAACTCTGCAGGTGTAGAAGACGGGGCTGAAAATTCCATAGAGCCTGATTTCGTTGAGGCATCGATCACTGGCAAGGACCAGACTAACGTGTTTCGTCGGGCTTCGTGCGTGTACTGCCCGTCGCATTCACTGACGATAGGATTGCATCCAATAGGTAGAGGAATGTTTATTTGGACGTCGTTCAATTCGAGATCGGCCTGTTCCAGTTCGTACTCGATATTCACGTCGCAGCCGCCTTCTCCGTTTTCGGAAGGCCAGCAATTTACTGTTTCAACAAGTTAAATGTTCATAAATTTCCCAGATTGAAGAAAAAGTTGAAATTAAATAACATCACATGTGCAAATGATGTCGTAGTCTCACTCGAGATTGGTAATGCTGTCTCGTCTTGGGCCTGGAAACGCCATTTCAGCACACCGACGTCGGTATTCAACGGAAATGGTTTCGTGGGTACTTTCAAACCTATCTGTCCATGCGCTCTAAACAGTTCCTTGTCCACGTTTGGATGGGTTTGCAACTGTATTCCTCTCGTGTCCCTGTTCTCGACCTGCACGCGAATACGTCCCCACTTCTCGTCGGAGATGTGCAGGGTCACCAAGCCGTGCAACTCGAAGTTCTGCAGACCTCCGTCCCGACCGACGCGCACGTTGAGCCGCTCCTCTTGCCTCAAGTGGACCCTTGTGACGGAAATACATTTGAGTGATCTGTTCGCGAGCGATTTTCAAGCTTCTACCGTCAAAATACAATCGCATACAATTCTGTGTTAATTATCTGAGGCGTGATTTGTGCTAGTTTCGTTCCGGGGGCAGCAAGTGGTCCCGACACGACGTTTTCTCCCTCCTCCTTCAACTGATCGACGAACGAGTCTACATCGCGAGACTTGCCGCCCAGTTTCATCGCACCTGGCCCGGCGTTTACTGGTTTCCTGATAAAGCAACATTAATTACAATAAAAATGCTTGCAAATGTAATTAGAATCCAAGTCAACAGTGATCGTACTGCTTGGGCTTGTAGGAAGGTCTAATCGGTTCAGGCACAAAGTTAGCTGTATCACCAACAGCCGCAGTAACAGGGGTGCTACCGCTTCCGTATCCACCGCCGAATCCGGGACTTTTAACGCTGCCCTTTTTGTTAGCCTCCATCATCCTTTGCCTCTGCAACTCCTTGGCCTTCTCGCGCATCTTGTTCTTGGCCTCGCGCTCCTGCGTCATTCGGACCGCTTGATAGACCTTCTCCTCGTGCGAGTCCATCTCCACGAAGGTTCGGATTTGTGCTAAATTGACATTCTCCCTGTAGCCTAACGCGACTATCTCGTCAAACGCGAATATCAAATTGAACGCATTCTCTGCTATTTCGAGCTCGTCCATCGAGTTGCAATATTCCGGAATCTGCAAGATCCAAATGTCATTGTAGCTTGGCGCGCGCGCGACGACGCGTTCCGACGAGCGTTCACGCGCAGAGATCGACTTGTCCACTTACCACCCTCGCGAAGAGCCTTAAAGTCTCCAGGTCTTCCAAAATATTGCTGGCCTTAGTCGTGATAAGCAGCATGTACACTTTCTCAAGGGGCTGATAGACGTACCTGACGGATTCCGTTTCCACGAATGTATGCTGCTTACCCGAACTCATTAGTTTCGGGAACGCAGCGAGTAGGCCTTCTATCCTCGCCTTTGTCATTTCGACGAACTGTCGAGAAATTATGGCTGGAAGAGTAATACAAACCACGATGATGAAACAGTCGCGGTAAGTGACGTTTTTTCTTTTCCAAGTTATTCAATTCCGTCGGCAAAAAAAGGTGTAGAAAATTACGCGACTTCGCCTTACAACCGGTCTACTTGTTTCTCGACAAATAGAACGGAGCGCGGATCAAAGATGCGAGGTAAGGACATAATCGCGCGATTAGATCGGAGACGCACACGTATACGGCAAGAGGGTCTGGCGAGAACTCACTTTTCCCGGCTTTGGTGCATACTGCAGCGGCGATGAGTACCTGCGAAATAAAAGAGAGAACGCGCGACATTACTCGGTGGGATTAAATGCCTGGCGGCCGCACGCCGCTAAATGGATGACATCTGCGGACGGTGTCACGGGTCCCCGCCGCCGTCCCGCGGGACACCCGCCGCTCCGGTGGGCGCGGGATCTCGACGGCGGGATTCCGCGAGCGCCGTAGACGAGCACTTACCATCCTGGCGAGCGATTCCGCGACGCTCCGTGCACGCCCCGCGACTTTAGTCTCTAATCCTGTTCCCCGTCGCACGCGACCGACCTGCTCTCCACATCACACATATACAAATGCGCGAGGAAAGGGAGCAGAGGGCGCGCTGTGCTGACGTGTGCCATGATGAAAGACGGTTCCGCCACGGATCGCGATAGTGTAGTCGGTAACTGTGGTCGGTAATCACTCGTAAGATCACGTGGGCGCGAACGACGCCGGTTTTATACGCTGACCAATCGCGTCGCCGGAAGAGCAGCGGTGCATTCGTAGCTCTCGCGTCGTTTAGAATGAAACGGGGGCGTCGATTCTGTAACTTACGATATAGTGAAAATGCAGAGTTGGGAAAGTTCATTTAGCAACATTTTAGCAACAAAACTGTAACTGTAACTGGATACTTTATAAAAGTTACAGTTTTGTTGCTAAAAATGTAACTAAGGCCGGTATTCATAGTCGATTCTTATTTCAAAATCATCTTAAGTGTCGCCTTAAGACCCAGATAACACACGTAGTTGTATGAATATTCTTCTGGAGTGCAAATATTCTTAATTTCAAAATATTCCAATCGAATATTCTATAAGTATATATAGATAGTGCTAATTGAAATTTAATAAAGTGGCCAGTTCAATCGCAGGCATTTATTCCCCTCACTCTCACCTGTGATTGGTTAATTTCTTACGGCTTAAGGCTTACAACTTACTTAAAGCAAGATTGTGGACCAGGGGTTACACAACGAAATCTGTGACCGAAGACAATGCAACTTGCAACGGTGGCTGCAAACGAACGAAAACGCACTCGTTTCCTTTCGCACCTGCCCGATTAGTTCCTGAAAAACGTATTACACAACAAAATCTGTGACCAAAGACATGGGCAGGTATTCATAATCTTTCTTTTAGGGTTCTCTAATTCTTATTTCAAAAGCATTTTAAGTGTCGTCTTAAGAGGCTAATACGGCTCTATGATTGGTTAAAGACACATTAGTGCCAATGTACCCTAAGCCTTAAGAAATTGACTAATCACAGTCCCGTATTTTACTCGTACTTGGCCGTGATTGGTCAATTTCTTAAGACTTAGGACTCGAATCATCTATTGTAGACTGGGACTTAAGAGTATACTTAGATGATCTTAAATATCCAAGGAAAACTGAAAAGTCAAGATGACGTCAATTTGACTTTTCATTTTCCTCGGGTAGCCTGCGTTCGGCGTTGCAAATTCGAGGCGTCGGCGTGCTCTTTTGTATTCGCGTGAGCGAGAGAGGAGAATTAGATGGAAAGAAAAGGAAGAGCACTTCCGACGCCTCGGATTTGCAATGCCGAACGCAGACTGTTATAAGAACGGACTTACGAATACCGGCCATTATCCTTTGAATGAACGCACAGAGTCTCGCGGGTTCTGTAATATCGGCATAGCTTGGCTTGATTCCGAAAAGGCGCGACAGAGGGCGCCACCGAACCGAAATAGTCGCGACGTCGTCGGTCTCCGGAGCAACGTCTATTTCACGCCGGTGAAAGGATCGCGCTGTTCGTCCGCGTGCAAGGAATATTAAAAGGTAAAGGCGCGATGCGCGTGTAATTATACGTTGCAAGCCTCTTGGAAGCGCATTGTAGGTCACAGGCTTTAAGGTCGTCAAAAATGTCGAGTTTCCGATTGATTTGAAACATCGATCGCGCGTCCCGAGCTGTAACAACCGCGTCCTTTCTTAAGGCCTGGTCTACAATGAGTTGTTAGTCGTTAGTCAGAAGTCGGAACTATATGTCGGTCCTTTTTCTTCCACCCTGAAAGGAAAAGGATCAACATATAGTTGCGACTTCTGACTAACGACTAACGACTCATTGTAGACCGGGCCTAAGCCTCGTCTACAAGGCGTAAGGCACGGCGCAAGAGCGCAGGCGTAGGCGTTGAAAATAAAATTATTTTATTTCGCTCGCGCCGCTGCCTGCGCTCTTGCGCCGCGCCTTACGCCTTGTCGTGTAGACGAGTCTTCAGGCTGCGCTCAGAAACATCACCCCCGCCCCCCCAGTGACAAAATAATGATACCCTGGACAACTCGGGTGTCGTTTCTGAACGCAGCCTTGAGGTGGCGAACTTCGGACCGTTCGCCGCGCGCGAGTAGCTGCCCCCTTCGAGCCACCGAATTTGACGCAACGGCTTCGCGAATCTGGAGTCTCTTCGAGTCTGACGAGGTAATCGGACGTCGACTCGTCACACCGACGGCAACGAATAACCGGTAATGACGACGGGCAGGCGCCGCGGGGGACGCCGAGGGCGACGCCGAAGACGCGGCCACGTCGGACGCGCGTCGCCGTGCGTTAATCTAATGGCGGCCATTATCGCGCCCGTGTAACGTTCGCTCGCGTCGCGTCTCGTTGCGTTTCGACGGTCAGCGCGGAAGATGCACGGCCCGCGCCATTATTACGCCGCGTCTATTCCGGCCGCGTTTCCGCTCGGCCGAGCC